AGTCTTTCCAAGATGGATCTCACTTCAGTAAAAATTATTTTTTGGCTGGAGATGAGGATAGATTAAGTCTTATTCTGTATATCGATGATTTCGAAGTGTGCAACCCCTTGGGAACTTCCCGCAAGATCCACAAAGTTACGGCCGTCTATTGGGTGTTAGGAAACTTTCCAGCACATGCACGATCAACACTAGCTTCTATCAATTTAGCTATTCTGTGCAAAGCAGATGACACAAAGCGATTTGGATATCAGAAAGTTTTAGAGCCACTCCTGACAGATCTTCAAAGCTTGGAAAAAGATGGTATTTTTATTCCAAGTTTAGGAAAAATCATGAAAGGCACTGTGGTGAGCGTGGTGGCTGATAATTTGGGAGCCCATTCTTTGGGAGGATTCGTTGAAAACTTCACAGGATCTAATGTCTGCAGATTTTGTCTTGGAGAAAGGTCCCAGTTTCAGACCACAGATGTAAGATCTGGACTTTTTCAGAGGAGAGATAAAGAGCAGCACACTCTGCATGTTGAGACGGCTATGTCAAGTCCTATTTCCACTCATTGCTATGGTGTGAAAAAACAGTGTGCACTGTCTGAAAAACTACAACATTTTCATGTAACATCTGGTTACCCACCAGATGTGTTACATGACCTTCTTGAAGGTGTCGTTCCATTGGAACTGGCATTGTCATTTCAAGACTTCATCAAGAAGAGATATTTTTCTCTTGTGGAGCTCAATACTTGCATTCAACAGTTCCCTTATAAGTGGAGTGACCAAACAAATCGTCCACATGTGATTCCTAGTCATTTTGCCACAAAAAGAACTGTAGGAGGGAATGCACACGAAAATTGGTGTCTGTTGCGTCTGTTGCCTCTCATAATAGGTTTGAAAGTACCTGAGGATGATGAAGTATGGCAGATGTTAATGACCCTTAAAGACATCGTGGAACTTGCAGTGGCCCCAGTGCATACTGAGCAGAGCATCTGCTACCTTGCCACTTTAATATCTGAGCACCGAAACAGATATCTGGAAGTTTTTCCTCAAGAAAAGCTCCTCCCCAAACACCACTTTCTCGAACACTACCCTGAGCTTATTTAGGAATTTGGTCCTTTGGCAGCCCTGTGGACCATGAGATTTGAAGCTAAACATAGCTTTTTTTAAAAAATTGTCAGACAAACAGGCTGTTTCAGGAACATACTGCTGTCCCTTGCAAAAAAACACCAGCTCATGGTTGCATTGCATCTCCATGATTCAAATGTGACAAAGTCATCACTTTCAGTCACAACAACTTCACAAGTCTCTGTGGATGTGCTAAAGGATGGAATAAAAGATTTGGTGCAACACAGGTATCCACATGTCACAGTGGTGCATGTTGCAAACAATATGCACTTCTCAGGCACCAACTACAAACCAGGGATGTTGCTATGTCATGGCTTTACTGCAGATTTGCCAGACTTTTCTGAGGTGTTACAGATTATCTTGGTTTGTAATGAACTGGCCTTTGTTGTCAGACTACTAAGCACATGGTATAACGAGCACTTTAGGAGCTATGAGTTGGAACACACAGGCAACATTCAGATACTGGAGCAAAAAGAAATGGTAGACTACTATCCTCTGGCTGCATACACTGTTGCAGGAAGACGACTAACTACCTTAAAGCACTACATTACTCCTTCTGTTTAGGTAAATGATTATCAAAGTTAATATTGTACTTAATTCATATTGTAATAAATTGTTCATTTATTTTTTTGTATCTGTTGCAGATGTGCACCCCAGCAAAGCTGCGATTAGTTTTTGGAGAGAATGATGTTCGCAAATTGGTTCTGCCCTCAGGCATCCCCAGTACTCTCCAGGAGCTCAAAAGTATAATCCAAGAAACATTCAGTATTCCAGAATGCTTTACTTTGATGTATGAAGACATGGAATTTGGGGGACAGTTTTTCAATTTGGACTCAGTAGATGATGTGCAGGATAAATGTACTCTAAAAGTAGTACAAACTGAACCCATCACCCTAAATATGGTTGCTATGAATAGATCAACTCTACCAACAGAGTCTGATGCCAGGTCATGCAGTTCTCAGGACACTGTTGGGCTGACTCCTGTAAGTGACACTTACCTTTCTTCTGACTCCACATCCAGCGGATCTCAGGACACTGTTCTTTTATCGTCCTCTGAGACTACCACATCATGCCGTTCTCAAGGATGGCCAACAAAGTTTATAGTACCTACTTTCTCCTTTGATACTGAGCTCTTGCTTTCAGATGGAAACAAAGCCTACCAAAAGGACGGCACTCTCTTGAACAATCATAGAGTGACAAGTAGTGTCCTTGAGACGCTAGCAGAGACAATATTTTGTTACACTGCATATCCAACAGGTGTCCAAATTATGAATGTAGTGGAGATGTTGATTGAAAAGTATCCATGCCTCAAAGAGCCAGGGTCCTTTAATGGACAATATGGGTGGCAACAAAGGATTAAATATAAAATGGGAAATTATCGAGCCAAATTAAGAGGTAGCCAGCTTTCTTGCCCAGAGCTTGAGGTGAACCAGAAAAGGAAGACAAATGAAAACCCTACTCCAAAAGGCTTCAAAAGACCTAGGAAGGCTGAAGTAAATTACTTGCCACCATTTCCATTTGGGGAAACAGGAGAAAGTTTGGAGAAGGAGAGACTAGATCTCCTTAATGAAATTAGGAAGAAAAACAACAAAAACATCATTGGCGAGAAAATGGAGAAGACTTTCTCCTATCGAAGAACAGAAGTAGTTAAGGACTGCCCTGCTGTTAAAGATTTCATGGAGAGATGGCCAGCCCTTTTCTGTGAATCTGAGGTAAACTTCACTTCTTTTCTTTGTTGGCATAATATGCAGTGATTTCAAATATAAATTTTTTGAAGTGCAATACAAAAATTTACCAGTGCACTCAACTCTAATCATCACTTGATTGTGTTACATTTTATTTTCTGTTTTAGATCAAGAATGAATTTAGAAGAATCACCACAATTTCCTTGGAGCGTACATTCTTGGAAAAGCTGGACTTCTATACTCCAAAACTCCTGGCTTTGTTTGAGATGAAGGGTGGGGTTGCTGGCATAAGAATTAGACATTTGCTGGATTCACTCAGCCAGGTAAAATGTAAATTTTGTTTACAATTGTGAATCACTTATGGGATGGTATGCTGCTTCCTGACTCTGTAAATATGTTGTTATATGTAGATGTATACACATTTAATGTTCGCTGCATTTTACTTCTGTTTTTAACAGCAAGAAGATAGGCTTGAAGATAGGCGAGACGTTGTGATTCGCTGCCTCCTGTCTTTCCTTGGAGAATCAGCTGAGGAGCTCATTGAAGACCACCAGGTATTACAGTTCAATTAAATTCAAATTTATTTGTATAGTACTTTTTACAGTGTACAATGTTACAAGGCAGCTTTACAAAACACACATTGTTGAATGATCAATAAATTGAAACAAATCAAAGAAAAAGTAATAATCAATTATTAGTCTAGTGCTGACTTTGTTTGAAGTCCTTACATGGCCTGGCGTCGTCAAGTCTTGGGTCATCTAACGTCATACTGGGAGGCGGGGTCCAGACATGGATATACAATAATTAATGTAGCAGCTAGCAGTTAGCTAGCTACATACACAGCTACATCCATTTCTATTTTTCCTTGATTTTTGGATGTAGACAGTAGTGGTTTGACTGATATACTGTATTTGTTTTCTGCATATTTGAACCCTGTCAAGCACTGACGATGATGCTGAGATCCATGTTTTTATACTGAGGAAAATTGAAAGGCTTATACACCATTGTTACAAAACTTATAGAACACCCAGTGATGGTCAAGAAGGCAGCACCATACATTTAAATGTCAGGTGTATGTAAAATTTTAGACAGGATTTCCAGTGTAAATTGTTATTTTGTATATATTTCTTATCTTTCATTTATATATTGTCTATAGAAACCATTCAAATGTTTCCCAAAAGACATAATAATTTACACTAATTATCATTTCCAGAGGTTTACACCCTCCTGACTCTAAATGTACAGTGTTATCTTTATTAGCATCACTAAATGTTTCTATCTACTGTAATAATTGTGTATGAGTCTCATTATTGTGTTCAATGTAAAAGTATTACTTAACAGCATACAGATACTGCTGAAGAAACTGCATATTGGGTTTAAATATGCAGAAAATGCTAAATATACTGAAGACTAGTGGACAGTTTGTCTCAGAACAGGAACCCATTGAGGAAAATTGAAAAAGTGATACTGTACAGTATTTTAACCACTTTGCACTGATTTGTGTATTTCACAGGATGTCAGCAGAGACATGATTAAGGATACCTTCGCCAGTCATGTCATGAAAATCATCGTCCTGAGCAGATCTGTAGAAGAGGAAGATGCCAGAAGATCTGATGTCATCATTGTCATCGAGGGAACTGAGGTGCTGCTGGGATGTAAAAATCTCACAAATGCATGTCTTTCACTCATGGGCTGCATTTACTCCCTAAACCTAAGCTATCCCCCAAAGCTGAGAAACACATTTGAAGTGTTTCAGAAAATCTTTCTTGGCCTAGATGCTTTAAAATTCTCTCCAAAGGTTAACTCTTTGCATAGAAAGCTTCTAATGTAATCTGCTAGTTGAGCACTACTTGCACTTATTTACACTACTTATGCTGTTTTACTGTTTTTTTTTTTGTTTTTTTTTGCATGAAAGGTTGTTCAGAAAACAACTACAACTTCAACTACAGTACTGTTTAACATAACCATTCTTCTGGAGACTATAAATGCAGAGTTTTATTTTTTTATTTTTTGATGTTTTTGTTCCCTTAGTTTAATCTTATTGAAATTAAAGTTACCTAATGAAAGGCAGCTACTAGTTTGACATTATTTGCACTTTCACACTTTTGTATTTGATATCTGCAACTGAGATTTTTGTAAAATGTTTGTTATATTTAAAAAGGTATATTTTATGTTTATATGTTTAAATGTTTATGCATTTTAATGCATGTGTGATATTCTAAAAAAGTTTCCTGGAGTAAAATGCACTATAGTGCATCTGATGCTCTCATCTGTTAAGGAATCTCATAGAAATAAAAGTATTCAAGTAAAATGTATGTCTGTTATTTTGTTGACCACCATTTAAATACATCAACAACATCAAATAATATTTAAAGTAAAGGTTACTCAAAATTTTAAATAAGATAACTAGGATTATTGTGTAAAAAAAAAAACATTTATAAGCATTACTTAAGTAAAATATATAAACAAACAGTCAATACAGTTTACTGGGAAATTCCAAGTAAACTTTACTTGAGATTTTCTAATTAAAGCTACAGTTCCTTGTGTTTAGTTTTTACTTGGGAATTCTATTGAAATTACTCACATTTTCTAAGTGAAAAAACTTTCCTAACTTTTTTTAAGTAAATCCTACTCCAAATTTTTTTCAGTGTATATCAATTTTATTCACTCATGGTGAAGATCTAGAGGGTCAAACTATTGAGGAATTTATCAAGAAGAATGCAGAACTACAAGAACTTGCTGAGAAATGTAAAGGTCGCTGTTTTGTCATTGATAATAAGCATTGGAAAAATCGCCTGTGGGGCTACAAGAGCAACCGAGTTCAGGTGAGAAATCTGCTGAAAACCGCAGACACGATAGAGAAGGAAAATGGCTACAACAATGAGCTGCTTCACATGGTTGATGAGGTCATTGAAAATGAGGAGAAGAATATAAAGGAGGACAATCTGTCTTCAGAAGGCAAACGAGAAAAAGCAAAGAAGAGAGTTTATGAAAAGTTGTGCATTAAGCTTGCAGGAGTGAGCACAGGGATGTTGATCGGAGCTTTTCTGGGCATCGGAGTTGCAGTGGCAGCTGTTGTGGCTTTGCTGAAAGCAGGAAATTTTAAACCAATATTAAAACCCATCAGTTTGAAAGCAGCCAGCTCAGCTCCGATCATCGCAGGTGTTGTGCTGGGAACCTCTGCTTTGGTAGGAGCTGTTGGAGGAGGACTTACTGGATGGGACGAAGCAGATGAAGCGGATTCTGTCTGTGATGTGATAACCAAAACAGCAAAGGCAAACTATGAGGGTGCCAAAAACATTTTTAAAATGGCAGAAGACCTCATAAATAATAAGGAATAGATGATTTTTGCATCAAAATTAAAAAACACAGAATATGTTTTCTGTAACCATCCAATAGGTGGGAGTTTCTCATGACATATTTAAGGAAAAAAAAAAACATTTCTGTCTAAACCTAAACTTATCTGAATAAGAAGTGGTGATGTATAATATAGTTTGTGCTGTCAGTTTAACTTGTTAACTTCATTAAATACAGCATTAGTACTTTGAACAAAATCAACGCACCCCATCCCCAGACAGTGGGCCCCTATTTTAACTTTGTGTTCATATTGCAGGATAAATATATATGAGACGTTTTATCAAACTTCAATTGACATATGTAAATGTAAACTGAACTTTGAATCCTTGGGCTAAAAGGTATTAAAGCAATATTACTGTCACTCTCGTTAAACAAAGTAGCCACCAGACACACTAGACGGCACTTTACACATTACATCTTCCACTGAACTGAACTATGCATTGCATAATCCTCAGCTCCTCACACCTGATGCATACCTGTTAACCCTCTCGTTTTTCCCTGAATTCTCCCGTATTTTACAGTTCTATCCCGCTATCATCCCGTTAAGGTATTTTCTTGTATTTCTCCCGTATTTTCAGTCTTTCTCTAAAGGGTGGTAAATAAACATTAAAGAGCCGATCCTCCCTATACGCAATCAATACCGCCGAACCACAAGGGGCCGCCCCTTGCTCTTAAATGTGAGTCTGTTCTGTGCTTTCGCTTTGTTTAGGCATGAAAACACTTTGAAATAAATATAAAAACAGCGGGATTCCCCTCCTTTTCATTACAGGTGCTGTCACCCCTTCATATACAATCCTGAAAACAGTCATATAGCAGTGCGTGACTGTCAGCTTACGCGCTATATAGTGGTAAATAGACGCTGTTTTCCAAACATTCTGTACTTGCGATTTGAAGCGGAGCAAAAGTCTGGGTTTTGGGTGCGTTTTTGAACAGACATATACACATAATTTATAATAATAATAATAATAATAATTATTATTATAATAATAATTATAATAATAATTATAATAATAAGGATGTTATTCTTGGTGAGGTTTTTTTTTTATAACACAACTAATTTCGCCCTAAATGAGCATAAACAGTTAGGAAAGCAGAGAAATGCTTTAACTTTTTTGTTAGATGTGTGCATTTTTAAAGTGACACCTGTTATTTAATTTAATCAAATAAGAAATCTAAATAAATCATTCTTTTGTTACTCTTTAATGAGAAAGTGTAAGTCATACAGTGAAGAAACGGCTAATGAGATTTGATTCTGTTTCATTGTAATAGCTCTTCATTTTAATAAGCTGAACTGTTTGCTGATTTATTTGCTGAAGGATTCGGATTTCTGCTTTCCAATCCATCTCATCATGGACCAACGTTTATCCTTTTCATCATTCTGTTTCTCAGTATTTAACTGTGAATTGATTTTAATTAATGAATAAGTTAACACATTGCTTAATATAAGACTGTTCAGTGCATTTGCCTGTCTCTTTATACCTATTTTCAGGAGCCAGCAAACTAGGTCAGAGGTCATGGAGACCTTGAGTGGAACTGAGGGCTGAGGATTGGAAGCGACTGTTTCTATTGTTATTTCTAGGAGTTAATACTAAATAAAATGTCTAAAAGTGATTTTGCTGTTTTTATGGTTAAATCTTTTAAAGTGATTCTACTTTTATTCAAGATAGACTTTGTGTAGTAAGGATATTATAACTGCCTGAATGTAGATTATACCGTTTTTAACCAGTTTTGATAAAGACGGCTGACAGTACACTCAGCCTTGGATAAGAAAAAGATTGTACTTTATGTGTGTGTGTTCTATTTGATTGTTGATCTGTTTCACAGGTCTGGAGTCAGCTCTAATCAGTCTAGTGGATGTCTGACATTTGTATGCTTAGATAATGTTCAGAATATACGCACGAACCCCACGTGGAAATTTTCCTAGTCTATCTGTGCTTTAACCAATCAGGCTAGAACACCTATATGTGTGACGCAGTTAATGACGTTATGTGAGAGTATAATTGTTATTGATTGGTGATTGTAAGCAGAGCGGCCTAGGAACTCATTGCGAGTGTTGAAGCTGGCTTCTGTTGATGTAACTGCAAACTATCTTCAGTAAACTTGATTTATTTATTTAAATCTCTGACTCCGGCTCTTCTTCATCTACCAGACAGGTCATTCTTTGGGTCAGTCTGTAAACTATCCCTACATGATGTATACTGTTCATTTTGTCTTTTGAACATAATAATAAGAATAATAATAAATCATATTATTGATCATTTAACTGTTTATTTACAACAAAACAGCTCCAAATGAGCATATTTAGTAATTTGGAGATTTTTTAGAGGGGGTCGAGGAAACTTGAACTTTTATTACACACACACACTGCTGAAGGACATCATCACTGATTACATGGACTATATATACACCATGCACACACATCAGGGGCTGATTTAAGAGGAGAGTGGATTTGAGTCTGGAGCTCGGGCCACATGAGATCAACAACAAGCAGGAGGGTGTAGGCGTGGGATCCCGGATTTAGGACTTAAAAACCGAAGGACATTTGCAGAAAAACTACCGAATTGGGAGGACAATTCGGAATAAGTCTTGAACTGAAGTAGGTAGACACAATGGATGAGTAATAGAAATAGAAATCCATGAAGTATGATCAAATAAAAGGAAAAAAGAAAACAACACGAGTGACGTGTCTAATTTTGAGAAGAAGGCAGGAATAAGGAAACAAGGCAAAAGGAAATAAGAATTAACAATACAAAAAAGATATTAAATTCACAATCACGTTTGTCAAGCAATCAGAACAATATGTACACCCTGATAAACTATCAAAAACAATAGAAATAGGATCAGTGAGAGAGACAAAAGTCTAAAAAAAAATGGAAGAGTTCTGATCAAATCTAAAGATGGAATGCAAAGCACAAAGATCTTAAAACTAAAACCACAGGCTGGTGGTAAAATAAACTGCAATGAAATGGGTAAAAAAAAAAAAGGAATATCCTTTAATGTAGCTATGGAGGAAATCAGAAGAAACTTGAGTGGAGGCAAAGTTTGCAAAGCTAGAAGGACAATAAAATATAAATAGAAGACTCTGCTGTGTGCGAAGGGAAAATTAGATGTCCAAAATGTGGTGTGGAGCATGATTGTGGGAAGTGTTAAAAAAGGAAGTTAAAATGTTGTAACTATGTTGGCAAGCATAGCAATGCTTATGTAGATTGTCTAATGCAACAATAAGCTCTCGAAACCCAGGATGTTTAAAACTTAACATATGCATAAGAAGCTTGCAAAGTTAAACAGCTACGAGGAACAGAAACTCGTTGGGAACATAAACAAAATTGAATCAATCGGTGGAACGAAAAAGCATGTCTAGTAACCCAGGACACACAAATGTACTGTAAGTTGTTTATCCATGGACTAGTAATGGACCGCTCTGAGCCGGGAGTCGGTTGCTCAAACAAGGAGGCTAAAGACCATGGCCGCCCTCTAGTGTTGGTCGCTAGAGCACCTTTAGAGTTCAGAGGAGTGATGACGTGTTCACACCAGATGCGGATGCGCAGATAAATCGCCGCGTGACATTCGCGTGTCAAATTCACTTCAGAACAGACGCGGATTGGCGTGATGGCCAGGGCTTCTGTCTGCCCGAAGACTCTAGCTTCATAGCTAAATGGATAACAAGGATTTTATGAAGAAAATAACAGTGTTTATGTGCTTTATGAAGACTAAAAAAACAGCGTCGATACGTTTAGGGTCGTGTCTGAGTCCACTACATTCTTTCAGAGGTGCATTCAGCTCTATGAGCTCATAAACTCCTCCAGAAACTTAACCTGGATGACGGAGGCTTTCAGCGGTGCTTCTGACTGAGCCCAGCCCAGTTTGATGAACTGTTGTCGGTGAAGGGTGGAGGATATCTCTGGGAACACCGACAGGTTCTATGTCACAATCACACCCCCACAAGAGCAAGCTTCTGATTGGTTAACGCAGCGCGAATTTCCGCTGAAGTTCAGATTTTTGAAATTGAGAGATTCGCGCGAATTGCTCGTTAAGCACGTAAAACGCTCAATTCGCCCCGCGTAATTTGCGCCATTCGCGCATTTCGCGCCGCAGGATATCTATTCGCGCGTTTGCATTGACTTAACTTGTAAATCACTCGCACTTGACGCGCGTTCTGCGTCTGGTGTGAACGCAGCATGAGGTTTACCTGCACAGCACTTGACTAGCTGGCCTCTGTTACATTTAGATTTCTCCAAAGAGAGAGATGATGCCACAACAGTGAGGGATTTGGAAATCAGAGATAAGGTAAGAATAAGAAAAGATTGTATTAGAAGCAAAAATTAAATAATGACAACTATTTTAAGTTTCTTTACTCTTATATAATGACCTCAATCTTGTTTACATTCACTAATAACACATCTTTCATCTACAGAGTTTTATGGCAGCATCACTGTTAAGGTAAGCTAATATTATATTATTTGTATGTTGTTCTATTTGTTAATAGTTAATATTAAATTGTTGTTACTGTAACCCACTCGCTCTCTGCATGCTTGCTGGCCTATAGCACCACCGATGCTACTCTGCATTGTGTTGTATGTGTTTGTGGGGTGGTGCACAATCAATATTTAGTTGCCTGAATGACTGCTGAAATGTCATAAAAGACACTTAAAATAGATCAGACTGTGAGGGATGAATGTACACATTATACACAAAATTAGCTAAACAAATCGACTTTTTGAAGATTATATGTAATGTAATGTAATGTAATGTAATGTGTATTTATATAGCGCATTTATTGTGTATGGCCATACACCCAAAGCGCTTCACAATCATGAGGGGGGTCTCTCCACACCACCACCAGTGTGCAGCATCCACTTGGATGATGCGACGGCAGCCACAGGACAACGGCGCCAGTGCGCTCACCACACACTAGATATTGGTGGAGTGGAGGGACAGTGATGGAGCCAATTCGGTGGAAGGGGATGATTGGGAGGCCATGATCGTAAGGGCCGATAGAGGGACTTTGGCCAGGACACCGTGGTTACACCCCTGCTCTTTCACGAGAAGTGCCATGGGATTTTTAATGACCACAGAGAGTCAGGACCTCGGTTTAACGTCTCATCCGAAAGACGGCGCCCACTGACAGTGTAGTGTCCCCTTCACTATACTGGGGCATTAGGACTCACACAGACGACAGGTTGAGCGCCCCCTGCTGGCCTCACTAACACTACTTCCAACAGCAACCTAGTGTTCCCTAGTGGTCTCCCATCCAGGTACAGACCAGGCTCAGCCCTGCTTAGCTTCAGTGAGTAACCGGTCCTGGGCTGCAGGGTGACATGGCTGTGGCATTATATGACCAGCAACCTGTATAATGTTGAAAATGGGATGCCACAAGGAAATGCAATCAGCCCAATTGTATTTTCCATTATGATCTAAAGTGAAACCAGCAAAATTAAACATTTAGTTATTTGTTTGATGTTTGTTATAGTGAGAAAAAAAAAATTGTCTTTGGCTTTTCCTCACTGCATTCAATCAAATATATTTTAGGTGCCTAAGAAGTTTTAAGGTGCCTAAAATGTGGTGATTGCGTTACAATATTGCCAAAGCATTATTACAAAAACCGAATACTGACAGGTAGAGTAAATATTCAATAATACAATAGTAAACATCAAACAAGGAGCACAAAGAATAAAGTGTTGATCAATGACTAAAATAATTCAGTGAACATGAGATTATCTGTCATGTGAAGTGTAAAATAGACAATAGACATTACTGTTCAGTCTGTTGTTGAGAAAACAAAAGCAAGCAGTGAGTGTTTCATGAGATCCTGCAAAGCATTTCTGAACAGCATGAATCTCTCTTTATATATTTATGCAGTACAGAATTATGCGGTTGTTTTTTCCTCTGTGTATCTGATCCAAATAAAACATCTGAATGAGCTTTGATCACAGTATCTTCATTTAAAGACATTCTCCCTCAAAACAAAGAAAAAACAGAGTTTATTTAGTCAAGTCATCTTTATTTCTACAGCACTTTTTTACAGTGTAGATGGTCATAGCTGATTTACAATGATGAACAGGACAATAATAGAAAGTCAGAGAACAGTATTTTAATTTTGTCTGAGAATATATTCAATAAATCAGGCATCTTATGATAGATAAACACATTTCATATGCCATGGCATGATCGCTAATCTCGAAATGTCGTTGATTTGATTCTTTGTAACAGAGAAACATGTATTTTTATTTGTTACTTATGAGGAATCAAATCAAATCATGAGGTTTTAGGGCTCGCAAAATTTTGATACCTGGGAGCCCTCAGACGGGCACTCTTCATTTTGGTATAAAATACATTATTTTTAAAATTACAAATTACAGAAAATATATAATAATTATATATACACATACGCACACACAGTTGAAGTCAGAATTATTCGCGCCCATTTGATTTTTTTTTTCTTTTTAAATATTTCCCAAAAGATGTTTAACAGAGCATGGGATTTTTCCACACTGTGTCTGATATTTTTTTCTTCTGAAGAAAGTCTTATTTGATTTATTTAGGCTAGAATAAAAGCAGTTTTGAATTTTTCAAACACCATTTTAAGGAAAAAATGATCAGCCCCTTTAAGCACTATTTTTCCGATAGTCTACAGAACAAACCATCATCATACAATAACTTGCCTGATTACCCTAACCTGCCTAGTTACCCTAATTAACCTGGTTAAGCCTTTAAATGTCACTTTAAGCTGTATAGAAGTGTCTTGAAGAATATCTAGTCTAATATCATTTACTGTCATCATTAAGAGAAAATAAATCGGTTATTAGAGATGAGTTATTAACACTATTATGCTTAGAAATTATGTTCTCTCCATTTTTATATGATTATTTTTTTTAAATAACCAAAGTGAACATTGTTTCAGGTTATTTTTTGCAACTCTAAAAACTTTCCAGAATGTTAGGTTAGTTATTTTTTAAAATAATAACAATATTATGCAAATATGGAGAATATTCCCCCATGGCTATTTTTGGTTATTTAATATATACATATATAACTAACTTGGTACTACCAGTAAATCACAGAAGACCAGTGCATCATAGAAGATACTTACATTTATAGCTATATATGTTGAATATATGTTTTAGTTTGTTCAGAGGTGCCTGTCCTATCAAAAACTATTGTTTAGCCAAAATGAATGTAACCACCGTTTGCTTTTTCACTTTTATACATATCCCCCACTAGTTTATATGTGCGTTCAGTAATGCATTGAGATGCTCTTTGTGTTGGTCTATCAATTGAATCCGTTTTGACGCACTGCCACATGGCTGCTCTTTCTGTGCATGCTCAGTTACATCAGACTCTACTTCAGTTGTCTCATTTTCATCATCATCAAACATTTTCATCTCCAGGAATGTTATCACATACGCCCATTGGTTTCTTTTGTAACCTTTTGCCATTTTCTGTGTTTCTATCCAAGCTTGTCTAATGTCATCATCTTTCCAGCAATGCTCTGTTTTAATGCCACACCTCTCTTCTATCTCCTTTTTAATGTTGTCAAACCACTGAAACGTGTTCTTAAACGATAACAAACACTTGGCCATGTCCTCTAAAGGGTCCTCAAGTAAGTCTGCTGCCATCTTGATGAAATCTCGACACAAAGTTGAGGAGCAGAAAGAGCTCTTGTGTGATTTAGCTTCACTGCACAGAGGTCTTCAAGGATCTTCTTCTGTGATCAGACTAAAACAATGAGCAGACAGATAGGAAAAAAGAACCTAATGTCAAATTTATTCTTCATTCCTGATGGTAACTGAGAGAAGTGAGTTAAAGATGGACTCACATGAACAGACTGCAGGTCAGATGAACACACACGTCTGCTGTACTTATTTTACACCAGCTTTGGCTCTCCTACAGACACACAAAAACACATGTTTACTATTTAATGAAGCAAAACACTTTCAGGACTAAATATTCAGTTCAGATTTATTTGTATAGCTTTTACAATGTAGATTGTAAAAGCAGCTTCACATAGAAGATCATAATAAATGGAAACAGGGTAGTTCAGTTTTCAGTGTTTGTTCAGTTCAGTTCAGTGTGGTTTAATATCATTACTGAAAGTCCAAACACTGAAAAGCAAATCCATCGATGCGTAGCTCTACAGATGCCGAACCATGCAAGCTAGAGGCGACAGCGGAGAGGGAAAAAAACTTCACCAATTGGAGTCTTCACCTTTAGAAAAAACCAGGCTCAGTTGGGCACGACCATTTCTCCTAAGGCCAAACGTCTTGTGCAGAGCTACAGACTAGGTGCCGGAGAACGCTGGACATCTGCATGACTCGTCTGTCCCTGGAGCGCCACAGGAATCAGTCTCATGCTCTCCACTTCTCCATAACCAGCACAGCAGCTGCTCAGGACACGGCCTGTTGCAGGATTGTGAAACCTTGGGATCATCTCGTCACTGATCTTGGATCGAATCAGTGGCGCTGCATAGTCTCTGAGGGCCTTGGGATGATTATCCCCAGATGGAAATAGAGAATAATAATTTAATTAGCGTAGCTGCTGTTCATAGTGTATATAAACGAAATGCAGAAACCTGTGTGGGACACATTCAAGGATCATACCGCTAAGTGATGCATTGAGTGTATGCTTTACTAAACAGATAGGTCTTTAATCTAGTTTTGAACTGGGAGAGTGTGTCTGAGCCTCGGACATTATCAGGAAGGCTATTCCAGAGTGTAGGAGCCATAAAGTAGAAGGCTCAACCTCCTTTACCCGACTTTGCTATTCTAGGTACTACCAGAAGCTCTGAGATTTGAGAACTTAGAGAGTTGATTTTTTTTTCTCTTAAAGAGTTGAGAGGGATTGTAGCGAGACAGAAGGTTGGTTAGATAAACAGGAGCTAGATTAATTAAAGCTTTATAGGTGAGAAGTAATATTTTAAATTCAATACGAAACTTAACAGGCAGCCAGTGTAAGGAGGATAACATTGGGGTTATATGATCATATTTTCTAGACCTGGTAAGAACTCTGGCTGCTGCATTTTGTACTAATTGAAGTTTGTTAATAGAGGATGCTGGACAACCAGCAAATAGAGCATTACAGTAATCCAGTCTCTAAGTCATAAAAGCATGGACTAGCTTTTCTGCATCTGAGATGGATAGCATATTTCGTAATTTAGCGATATTCCTCAGATGAAAGAAGGCAGTTTTTGTGACATGGGATATATGGTTTTCAAAAGGTAAATTAACCCCAGTCTTTAACATCTCTAATACATTCAGTTAGTTTAGACAGTTCAGACGTCTCATCAGGTTTAGTTGAAATATCTGATTGAGTATCATCTGCATAGCAGTGAAAGCTGATCCCATGTCTTCTAATAATGTTTCCCAGTGGTAGCATGTAGATTGTAAACAGTAAAGGGCCTAAAACTGATCCTTGAGGCACCCCATACTTTACTGGGCAGATTTGTGAAGGCGTCCATTAATATTCACGAACTGGTAACGGTCAGTTAAGTATGACTTAAACCATTGTAGAGCCTGTCCCTGGACACCTGTAGACTTTAAGCGATTTATGAGGATATTGTGGTCAATGGTATCAAATGCCGCACTAAGATCGAGTAAAACTAATAGCGAGATGCACGCTTGGTCAGCAGCTAAGAGTAAATCGTTGGTTATTTTCACTAATGCGGTTTCTGTACTGTGAAGAGCCCTGAAACCTGACTGAAACACTTCATGTTCCTGTTTAATAAAGACTTTCAAGCTGGAGAATAACAGTATTTATCACACACACTTTATATCTCTGTCTAATATATAATAAATCACTGAAAGAATGAATATTATTGTGACACCAGTATACCCTCTGTGCCACTGTGTTAATATTTAATAATAATAAAATTAATAATATTACATTTCAATTTAAAGGAAGTTTTAATTGTGAATGTGCTGTAAAATGTAATTGTTCTTTGTAAGGTGTTTGACCATCTGAAAAAATTAATTTGATTTGTCTTTTAATTATCATCTCAAGGTTCCTCTTTTTTGTCAACAGTCTCTTTTCCAACGCAATCTCACGGCAATTTGTAACTTTTTGATTTAGTGGGTAATTCGTATGAATTAGTACGATCTAATTCGTACAATTTAGTACAACTTGCTCATCCCCCAATGACGGTTGGGTTTAGGGGTGGGGTTAGGTGCCACGCCTCCTTTTTTAAAATCGTACAATTTCATACGACTGAACTCGTACAAATTCGTACGCATACTAAACTGGCAAAACGTAAAATACTTACGTTTTCTCGTGAGATCAGGCTGTCTTTTCCCATTTTCTGCTCTAAAACAAATAGCTAAAGCTAAAAGCTTAAAAAAAAGTCTTTCATAGGGGAGCACGGGGCAACTGGGGTTAAATGTAACATGGAGTGTTAGGGTATTTGCTCAGGGTTAGCCATGCCATGCTTTCGAGGTTTTCACCACAGTGTCGGCAGACGTCTTCCTGCCAATAATTGAAAAGGTTTGGCAAAATTTGGATGAGAAACACAGGAAAAATCTTTTTTTTTTCGGCATAAAAGTACTTTTTACTATAGTCAATATTATTTTATTTAAAAAAAAATCTGTGAAAGTATGAACGTAAAATACTTAAACATACTTAAAATTACTTAAAGATGTAACATTCTGAAAGATGTGAAATACACACAGTGTCACAATTACATAAGGAAGATGTTGGGATAAATTGCAGATCGTCTGTGTGTTTCCTCAGTAAGCTGGAGCTCCAGGAAGGCAACAACAACTGAGAGATGTGAATCCAACAGTTTATTGCTCTCTTCTAAAGAAGACTGGGGTATTCCCAGCTTTTATACGTCATACTCAAGGGTACATGGGCTATGAATACGTGCAAATATTCAGCTCAGTTAGGCAGAACAATTTTATCCAGTGCTCAAGAATGTCAAGGTGCCTAGTACAGGGACAACTTACAATAAGATAAGACACAGTTACAAAACTGAATATTTGGAGAGTGACTACATGGATATTTCTTTCAGAAGACAAGGGTGATTATCTCTTTTCTTTAATTTATTCAAAACTATGTGGAAAGCGCAGTAGGATAAGCAGGCAGGTGATATTCTTGGTAGGAATGCAGACATGTAACCAGTTCACACACGAGTATAAAGTCACTTCCCTGTGTAAGATTTGAGATACTACAAATACTTTGATACTCAAAACACAGAGACAATAGGCTCCATACCCCACCAGGTGGGAATGTGGAAAAGCCAACTCCTCTTCTTCATTTACATTTGAACCATCCCTGCAACTCCCTCTGTTCACTCACCCTCTCTTCATACATACTCACACAGAATGGTCATTTTAAAGAATGAAGGTTCTGTGTCAATCCAAGTGACTTTATTACTATGTCATAAATAAAATAAATAAATAAAAATGAGGTTGAGTAAGTTCAGCAATCTCAGTAAATACTTTTATTATGGATGACGAGAGAGAGAGAGGGAGGGTTAATGCGAACCGCCGATAAACACCAGGAGGAAGAAGAAGAGAGAGAGGGCCTCTGACAGTCATGGAAGTCTGAGCCTGCGGTTTATTGTTTTAACAAAGTTTTATTACTTAATTATGCTTTCATCAGCCAGCAATGTTTAAACCCTCCCGAGATGTCAAGAAGCAGATGAATAAAGTGAGAACCGAACAGCATCAACTGCATTTCAACGTGTCAACTAGTGAGAACTGCAACGTCTACTGCACTTCAGCGCTTCAAATTAAATGAGAACCACAAAGCCTCTACTGCCAGCACTGCAAAGCTTCAGTCTAGAACAGCAAAGCCCCAACCTTCAACAAGGATTCGTGAGTAAACCAGCTAATGACTGTGACTTTTGATTCTGACTTGCACTTTGAGTTTTTTTTTCTTTCCTTTTCCTACAGGGACTTCTTGAACTGTGGTATAATTTAAATATTTTTGGTATTGATGACAAGTACTTTTGTGGCTTGACCATTTTGAGCTTGTTTCAAATTGATCCATTCCTGAAAAGTTATATGAGGGTGTATTTGATTGGTGTTTGGAATGATGTGTTTCTTTGTTGCTTGATTCCTGATTTAATTTTCAAACATGATTGATGGTGATAAGAATATTTTGAGAGTTTTTCCCCTTAATAAATCACAACTTGTGGGTCCATATATGAACAGGAGTTGAACAGGCCTTTGTAAGGTTTCCTGCTTATATATATATATATATATATTTTTTTTTTTTACTTATTTGGCAGTGACATACTGTCTGGCACCGCAGCATTATAAAGTTTGTAAAGGAAACGTTACAACTTTATCTATCATGTGTGATATCCTTTGAAATGTCTCAGTGCAACTAGAACAATGGTCTCATTCCCTCAGAAATATAATCAAAATCATAGATGTATAACTTTAGGTATATTTTGAACCACTGATAAGGGTGGTCTTTACCTGGGGGCTTCTATTCAAATGACCATTTGTTCCTTACAGGCAGTAACTAATCAGAATCTAACATGCCACCAAATGCAAATGCCTTTTGTTATTCGCTACACCCTTTCCTCAAGTAAATTCTTGAATTTACTACTTAAGAGAAAGACTATAAATGTTTGGCGCGATTCTGTAACTAGATCAGCCCGCAGCGTGGAGCTCTAATGCTCCATTCTATGTATATTTTTAAGTCAGGTATGCATCTTTTGATCTTGGATTTATCTTTGATAATTTGATGTTTTGTGTTGATTGTTTATAAATTGACTGAATAAATTGGCATAATACATTTACCTGACTAATAAATTGTTTTGAATTATTCAAACAGATCTCATGTTAATATCTCTAGTAGATAATGTTAAATCATAGAGATAAAGTTGGTTTTATATTCGAATATTCAGACTTTCTCCTTAACAGTATAACTTCAGAAAAATATTCTTTGTTAATTGTAATTAGGGAAATCATATTAGCAGCCAATGACTATCAAAGTACAACAGTGTTCACAGTAAATAAGTGTTAATGCTGTTTAGAAGTCATACTTGCATGCTAATTCCGATCGAATATTCAAAGTAACATTGTAAACAATATAGGGACTTCTAAATGAACAAATGTGCGAATATTAAACCAACTTTACCTCTATCGCTAAATCCATAACACCACAAGCCACTATGCAGGTTAGTAACGGACTAAAACACATTAGATGGAGCAGTGTGGCACGCTATACGATGTTTTTAGAGCTCCGACTAACACATTGGCATTTATTCAAGTATACTTAGACTAAAAGTCCAATAATGGGTTTTCCATTTAAAACAACAAAATATTGTTGAGACCAATCTAAATTTGGGTAGGTCTTCATCTCTAAACTTATAATACTATTTAAATCATGTGGTGATTATACAAAGTTACTTATAGTTTAAGCAGATTGGTCTGCTTGATTCTATAGTAATGGTCATGGTATGTATAAATAGCTTGGTCTTGATTTAGTAGATATAAGATCTATGGGTACCAGACAACAAATATTCTAATCTGAGTAAGTAGGGTTCTGTCTGTTTAGAATAGTGGTTAATCGCCTCAGTTTAATGACCAAGACTGACAAGCTTGTGCTTAAGAGATTGCATACTCGGCTGGTACAAGACTCAGGATGTTATAGGAATTCATATGAATGAAAATAACATGCAATACTGAATCTAAGAAAATATTCAATTATAAACTAAAGTAATATTAAAAGAAACTAAATCTTATCAATGTTTTAGAATTGGAGTCAGATAAAAAGAGGATAAATATATGAATATTCTAAACCACTTCATACTAAAATTAAAATCAGATATGAGTTAAGTTTAAAGTAAATCAACATCATGCACTGGAAAGACTGAACATGCAGTGAATCTTCATCCACCAGTAGATACCGTAGTTAGACTAACTGGCCAGACCTTACACCTGAATCACAGTTTGTGCATCCACAGGTTATGAAACATCCACGGAAGAAGGCAAGCTTGGGAGAAGGTAAGGTGAACCATCTGACATTGATTCCAGCCACTAAATGATTGGAATCAAGGAGTCTTTATGGGGAAGAGTAATTAGTTTTTAATCCTATTATGTCTAAAAAAGTATTGTTACTTATTGTCTGCTTAACAGCACTTGGTAAAGTATTTGAAAAAGAATTAAAATTTAACAGAAGGGTGAATAATCTGGCCTTTAACATCTTAACAATGCACAAAGCTCTAATTGACATTAAAATAATCAGTTCTCACCTTTTACTTGAGAGTGTGGTCAGCTATTCAGCAACCCTGGGTGATGTCTGTACAGCTACAGGCAGATTCAGCTTCTTAGGGCTGGATAAGAGTGAAGTGTTCAGGCTCAGATAAAAGGTTACTAAAACAGAAATTAATATGACAACTCACTATATATACTCTTCTGGACTCTAGTAATATAGTAGTAAGGGTTTTTTAGTAGTAAGGTATTTTGCTGATCCAGCAAATTACCTGTTTTGGGTTGTTGCTGGAAAAGCCTTCGCTGCATAAAACATATGCTGGTAAAGTTGGTGGTTATAACAAACATACTAAATATTTTTCATGGCACCAAGTAACATAACCAGGGCTCGAAATTAACATTTTACTTTGTAGGACCAGTGCTCCCAACTTCAAAAATTTAGGAGCACCACTGCAAATTGTATATTAACAGATAGGCTCCACGTCACATCCCTACAAGCATGCGCTTTTGAGTGAAAATAGGATGCGGCTCCTTTAAGAGAGATTGTGTGTGTGTACTGTCTGTAGCACATGTAATGTGTGTGGGATGGATGTTTCTTTTCACTTATGCTCAGATTAAGTTGTTTTCTGTAATATGCAGTGACACTGTTGACAGGAGAATAAAGCACAAGATGTGGGATGCAACCTGTGTGAGCCTTGATTTGTTTTCCTGCTACACGAGTTAGGCGAGCTCTCCGGTATTTTTTTTACTCAATGCATGACACAACATCTTTCACATATATTCGGAATATGCCTGTGTTAGTAATGTGAATCGTTCATATATCTTTTGCGAGTTCATTATCTGAGATGTAAAATGCAGGAAAAGCTGCCTATAGAGACATGCACAGTCGCACACGCATAGAGAGACGCTGCAGCACTGCTGAGGATTGTGTGTGTTTAAAGCGGTTTGACTGATAAATCTGAGTTTGTAGCTAAATGTTTAGTGGTGCCGAACAGCATTTCCCATTGTTTACAACCTTTCTACATGATGGAAGTTCTCCATTGTCAAATGCTAGAGCTATATATTTATTAAAATTCTCTGGAACATAGTTAAATTAAACTGTAAGCATTTCTGTCTTTGTATCGTGTCCTTTGGAAGCCCAAATACAGAAACAGACAAAGCTCTGTGGAAATAGCAGCATTTGGATGCCATTTTAGCTCTCTCTGCTGTAACATTACAGCGCCTCTGGTCATCCCCTTTAGCTGCGCAGTGTGTGTGCGTGGTAAAAATACCTTTGTGATCTCACTAGCCTGGATGTATTTTTTTGTAGTCCTCAAAGTTTGTTTATTGTAGGCTTTGCTAAGCTAACTCTGTAAAAGCCAAGATCTCCCTTTGCATTGAACTGAGCGTCTTACATTCAGAGATGCTGTTTATGTTCACACAGCTACATTACACATCAACTAAAGTTTAAAATACCATATCATAGTGGACCACCTCTTTAAAGTATTTTAAATGCAGTAAACATTTCGCTACACTAGTTCTTGTCTAATCAGCAGTGCAGGTAGAGAGGATGGAAAGTGCATACGCAACATCAATGGTGACCTTCTTATGGCAGCTGATTCTGGGCTAATATATATTGTCATTGTCCTTGACCTAAGTGCAGACTTTGACACTATCTGTCACAGCACCCTCATCAATAGACTAATCTCTCTTGGCATCACCAATATTCCACATGACTTGCTCAAATCTTATCTCTCTGGCCGCACTCAGTTCATTTAACTCAAATCTTTCCCTTCTCAGCATTTTACAGTTTCTTCTTCGGGCAGTTTTCATGCTGTCAGCTGTATATATGTATTTTATACAGCTGAAAGCATGACCAATTTCTGTTTAACAGGGAGCAAATTTCTTCAACACATTTCTAATCATAATAGTTTTAATAAGTCATCTCTAATAACTGATTTATTTTCTCTTTGTCATGATGACAGTAAATAATAATAGACTAGATATTCTTCAAGACACTTCTATACAGCTTAAAGTGACATTTAAAGGCTTAACTAGGTTAATTAGTGTAACTAGGCAGGTTAGGGTAATTAGGCAAGTTATTGTATACAGATGTTTTTTTCTGCAGACTATCAGAAAAAAAATTCAGAAATGTAACTCTGAAAGGGGCGAATAATTTTGTCCTTTAAATGTCTTTTAAAAAGTAAAAAAAAATGCTTTTATTCTAGCCAAAATAAAACAAATAAAATTTTCTCCAGAAGAAAAAATATTATAATAATATGATTTCCTGAATCTGTTAAACATCATTTGGGAAATGGTAAATTGGGAAATATTTAAAAAAAAAGAAAAAATATTTAAAGGGGTGCTAATAATTCTGACTTCAACAGTATATATATATATATATATATATATATATATATATATATATATATATATATATATATATATATATATATATATATATATATATATATATATATAGTTTCTTTCTTTGTGTGTCTGATCTAAATAAAACATCTGAATGAGCTTTAATCACACAATTGGATCTCCATTTAAAGACATTCTCCCCCAAAACAAAGAAGTAAAAGAGTTTATTTAGTCAAGTCGTCTTTATTTCTACAGCACTTTACAGACTGTGAAAGCTGATTACCAAGGATGAAAAGCATAATAATAACAAGTCAGAGAACAATATTTCAGTTTTGTCTGACAATAAATCAGGCAGAACAGAGGATAGGACATGTTAGATACACACATTAATATTTCATGGCATGATCACTGTTCTCTAAATTGCATTAAGAAATTAAAAAAAACTTGAATAGCAAAAGGGCAAAGCAGTGGCGCAGTAGGTAGTGCTGCCGCCTCACAGCAAGAAGGTTGCTGGTTCGAGCCTCAGCTCAGTTAACGTTTTTGTGTGGAGTTTGCATGTTTTCCCTGCGTTCGCATTTGCACCGGGTGCTCCGGTTTCCCCCCACAGTCCAAAGACATGCGGTACAGGTGAATTGGGTAGGCTAAATTGTCCGTAGTGTATGTGTGTGTGTGAATTTATGTGTGGATGTTTCCCAGAGATGGGTTGTGGCTGGAAGGGCATCCGCTGCGTAAAAACTTGCTAGATAAGTTGGCGGTTCAATTCGCTGTGGCGACCCCGGATTAATAAAGGGACTAAGCTGACAAGAAAATGAATGAATGAATGAATGAATGAATGAATGAATGAATGAACAAAAAATAAATGTATCTGAATAAGCATGAGTTAATAAACATTAATAAATGTAAATTAACACGATTAGATGTAAATAAACAAATGTAAATTGTTAAACGTACATTAATAAACAGGAATAAACGTAAGTGAATAAGGGTCAAATGAATTAATGTAGATTAAATGATTAAATGTGAACACATGTAAATGAATAAATGCAGACTAAACTTCCTCTTATTATCGCACACACATATTGACTGTAGTCTGGATATATGCGAAACACTCAGTGCCCAAATTATTACTGTTACACCTGTAAATGTTCATTAGTTTAATCACATATTTCTTTTCAATTATTAACCACTAGTGAATTCATTGCAGATTTACTCAAATATTTTTTTTTTTCTGTTCAGCTACAGATGATCTGATCCACACAAACCTAATGAGAGGTCATAAGCTCTTCAGGCTCAGCAGGATCCTCCCTGTAACTGTTTTCCTACTCTGACTTTTATGTGAACTGTGCGTGATTCTCCTTTTGCATTTTCTCCTGTCCACGTCACACTCCTGTTCTCCTCATTGACCACCCGAACATTCGTTTCACAGAACTTCAGCCCAGAGATGCTCTCGATATCCCTGACGGATTTCTTGTACTTTGTTTGCACAAATTCATCTATTGGCATCGCATGCTTCACTTTATCTTCAGCATCCTTCACTAATGTAGTTTCATCATTAGTAATCAGATAGCCGATCGGCTCTGACACTGTGCCATTACGGTTTTCTTTAATAATCACCTTAAAGAAGGAATCAGGCACTACTTTCTCTGAGGCATTGCGTCTTTGGATTGCCGAATTTGCTGTTATTATTGGTCCGGTGTACACGTGGACGTTAAGGATCTGGTCTGTTACAGTTTCTTGACACCATTTCTCTAAAGCGTTCATCATGTGTTTATTTAACTCAGCACACTGTGGTGAAATGTTGCTGAACAAAAAAGTCTCATCATAGGCTTCCTGACACCAACCGTGATTGCTCGCCGCAGCAAGATGACCTCGAGTGTAGCCTGCGACTTTACTATAGTCACTAAATTTACCTTTTGCAATGTCCTTTTTGGCTAAAGTGTCCTTGTTTAATATCTCATACACCCATTCGGCATTCTTGGTGTTTTCATTGTATGACATTACGTACGATTTTTTTGTTCTTATTTTTTTTTTTGAAGGGCATTCGTCAATTAATTTATAGGCAGATGGGACGGTTAGTTTAGGTGGTTCAGAGGTGGCTTCACTACCAAACAGCTCTGAGAGTGGGATCTTTATGCCGATGGCTGAAGAACTTGCAGATCCACCGCCACTGCACTTAGCTGATGCCATCTTGCTGAAATCTGGACACAAATTAGAAATTACAGACACAGAAAGAGCTCTTGTATGAGCTTAATAATTTCACTTCTTTAATTTCCTCAAGGATGTTCTCCTTTGATCAGACTAAAACAATGTGCATAAGGACAGAAAACAACTACATTGTCAAAATTCTCCTTCATTCATTGATTGATTGAGAAGTGAGGGAAACAAGGACTCACACGAACAGACTGAAGGTCAGATGAACACACACGTCTGCTGTGCTGATTTTACACCAGATTTTGCTCCTACAAACACACACAAACATGTTATAATGGGTTATTACAACTCAATGAAGCAAAGCAGTGAAATCACTTTCTTGTATAATTATAGGCTGGAGAATAATAGTTTACTTTACTTTATGGTCCACGAGCGGAAATTCATCTTTGGCTTCACCACACAAACAGATCAACGTTCACATTTCACACATCACAGAAAAAACAGGCATCACGAGTACACTCATTGTTATCACATAGAACATATTAAAAACATTTTTAAAAAGCTCATTTTAAAAACTTTTACATACTTAGAACCCAGTTTTTAAAATTCTAATGGCACTCAAAGGACATTAGATACACATTTTTCTTTGCTTGAGGTTGCCTAAAACATCTTTTTGATGGCAAGAGCTGACATTTGATATTTAAGGGATGGGAACAATCTTCAATAATGATGTGTGCTTTCTGTTTAATTCTCATTGAGTAAATTTCATATGGTTGTCTTTGTGTTTTAACTACAGTTGCACTGCCAATTATTACTACACTCAGTTTTTGCTTTTCCTTAATTGGACAACAGTCCATAACATGCAATCATGTTAAAACTCACAACACTTTCAACCGAGTTCTTGTATACCATCTCCAGAACATTTTAACTCACACCAAATTGTTGTGACCTCCTAATGAGATATAATCTCTGCATTGCTTTTTTCAAAATGCACTCTGCATTTGCAGCAAATGTTAATCCACTGTCAATAAGTGTTCCTAAATATTTAAAACAGCTAACTGTCTCTATTTCATGTCCCTCATTGACCAAGTTAAACAAAAAATCTTATAAACAATTATATTTTGAATTTAAATATTTTTTTGTCTTGCGTTTACATTAATTTTACATTTAAATAGGCAAAATTACAAGTTTCAGTATTTTAAATGCGATTAATCGCCATTAATTTTTTTAAAAAGGTGCAATTATTGATATGCAACTATTAATTAGTTAATTTTTTTTAACAATTGACAGCACTATGCGTTGCAAGTCTACTAGACTCATAAATAGCTTTTTTCCTCAAGCTATTAGACTGCTCAACTCACTCATGAAAACTGGACTATAAAATCACAATCCACAGCCCACACACACAAAAATCTGTGGAACTGTGAGAAAAGCAAACTCAAATGTTTTTATATTAATATTCCTTGCACGTGTAACATGTTTACAAAATACACTTACCTCTAAGCTGCTACTTTGCACTTTGCACTTTTGCCATACTGCACCTAATTGCACTACAATAAATACCTCAACTTGGTCATATTCTGGAACAATAGGATATATGGTAACTGTTCACAGTTTATTAGTGTCTATTATTTAATTCATCTTGCACTATATTAGTTAAATGTTTAGTTTATGTCTAGTGTGTGTCATATTTTTGTTTTTTTAAATTGCACATTGGAGTATGGGAGAAACGCAATTTCAGTCTGCTGTGTAATGTACTGTTGCATGGTTTGATTGACAATAAAGTTGACTTGACTTGACTTGACACTAATATATATATATATATATATATATATATATATATATATATATATATATATATATATATATATATATATATATATATAGTACTTGTATCACTTGCATTGTTAACCTAAAAAAATATATGCAGAAGGACTTTTAATTTTCAATAACCCAGTTCAAACACTTCCGGTAAACTGATAGTGCTGCTATTACGAAATCCCTGCATTTAAGGTCTGTTTTCTTTATAAATCAGTGATCTTCACTACCTGTTAGATATACGACAATGGGTCTCAGACTGAACAAGAAGCAATGCATTAAATATTTTCCTTTCCACGCCATGTCTTTAAAAAAAATTAAATTACAGTATTTTTAACTGAGTTTTTGTGCTCGCCTGCTGTTACTGACAGCGCTAGTTTACAAAATCCCATTAAGCTTTTACCGGAGATTTATCTGTAGGGGAAAACACTAGCTGTACCATATAGATAATTAGTTGGCCTTTACATTACACAATAGCTGAATACTGGTATCTTACAAAATATCTAGTATAATGTTATGTTATTATAACAGAAGAAATTAGTTATTAAAGCATTTTTAAAGCAATGTATAGAAACATCTCTCTGTTAAAAAGCACTTGGGAAAATATAAAAAAAAGGATTAAAATTTAATAGGAAGGTGAATAATTGGGTGAATAATTTTGCCTTTAACATCTCCACAATGCACCAAGCTCTAATTGACATTAAAATAATTAGTTCTCACCTTTACTTGAGAGTGTCGTCAGCTATTGAGCAACTTTGGGTGGTGTCTGTACAGCTGCAGGCAGGTTCAGCTTCTTGGGGCTGGATAAGAGTAAAGTGGCTCAGATAAAAGGTTATTAAAACAGAAATCACTCTGAAAGTTCTGTATATAACACCACACATACGTCTAGTTCAGCACTTTTTCTTGCTGATGCTGTAACTTGGGGGGGGGGGCATGCATACAAGTTGTGTGTGACATAGAAGATCACCTTTTCATGCTAAAAAAAAGTCACACATCAGTGCCATCATCTTGTTTTTCGGATACTAGTATTCATCTTAATTGTCCCAACCAAGAAAACAGCAATAGAAACATGTTTGGATGACATTTCTCAACTCCTAATGTTGCTACTTTACACACTTAATGCATTTTTTTCAACACATCACATCAATTCTAAAATATTAGCTTCTACCAAATAGTTGATATGTCGGTTTATGATAAAAGTACCAAAATTAGTGTCTAACGTTTTGTTTCTATACCACCTTTGCATGCAAAAGAAAGCCATGGATCATAGTGGCCTGTTCCTGTTTTTTTTTTTTTTTTTTCTCCCAGGATGTATAGTTTGTGAAATGCTGCCGAGGCCTCTTTACATTCAGAACTTCAACCATATGAGTTGGTGTTTAATTCAGATACAATAATTTCTTTATTCCCTGCTGTTACAGTAAATGTGCCAACTATACTGTATTTTAGAGATGATCCTCTCCTGGGAAGATGCCGTTCAGTTCCTCTGCCCTTCTCTTATGGCGTTTCTTCTGGAAACCTTGTCAATCAAATGAGTCTAGAGATTAATTACAGAGCACTGTTCTATAATATACATCTAATGTATCAAATACAGCTATGTGTGTTCAATACTTTCTCCATCCGTCATTTTATTTTTCTAATGTGTTATTTAAGCTTAATTTCTAAATTAATTAGTTCTGTTTTCATATGTGTGGATTACTTTGGTTGTTATTGAAAATTTTCCCCATTTTTTTCTGCTTTTGATTTGCATTATGGGATTTTGATCTTTCCACCAACAACTTTTAACCTTGAAAAGTTGTGAAAAGTGACCTTTATTGTCAAGTGTAATAGTGTGCAGTAGAGATCTGCGCGGGACTAAATTTTGAATCCCGCTCCTGCCCGCACCCGCCAGGTTTTAGCCCGAACCCGACCGCTCCCGCTTATATTAAGAATTTGTTGTCCCGCTGCCCGACCCGCCCCGTTTTCTGCCCGCCGCGCCCGATCCCGCTAAAGAGCGGGGGAGAAAAAAAACGAAAATCACCCAGCTATACAATCCAGACAGCCAAGCTGTCTGTATAAACACACACACACACACACACACACACACACACAGCACCAAGCACACACACACAGACAAAGCTCTCTCTCGCTCTCTCTCTCTCTCTCATACCCGTGCGCGCGCACTAACACACATACAAGCACCAAGCAGACACACAGGCGTTTGCTGTTTTATCAACTCAAAGGCTTGTAATACCATGTATAAAGTACCAATGCAATATCAAAAGGTTTTATATAAAGGTAAAAGTCCAGCTCCGGGACGCAGCGCACATTACTATCGGGCCGATTCCGGCGCGGATGCGGCAGCGTCGGCTCGCTTACGGCCGCCGCATCTGGCCCGAATCGGGCAGTGAGTCCACAAGCATCCAGCCCGAGTCCGGCAGCCGGAACCGGGCCGAGTGGTTAGTCTCCGGCAGGCGATAATCTAGCCGGAACTGGCCCGAGTGTATTTTGCTATCTGGGAAAGCTCTCTCTTTCTCTCTCTCTCTCTCTCTCTCTCTCTCGTGCACACTAACATACACACACAACCACCAAGCACACACACAGGCAAAGCTCTCTCTCTCATTCGCATAGCAATATCCGCGATATTGCTAGACGGGCCGCTCCTTGTCCCAAATTAAACTCGTTACCAACCGCTCCCACGATTTAATCGGAAATTTATTCCTATGCCGCAGAAATCTGGTCAGGTCTGGACAGCCGCAGAATGCAGACCTCTAGAGTGCAGTGCTATATTGTCTGTGTTGGTGTTGTATATTACGCTACACACCCCTTGTAATTTACTGTTATTTTACACACTTATTTTTTCTAGATATTATCATTATACATTATATATTATTATTTTAAACTAATAAAATGTCAATAAAGCCACTTTGTTAAACTGTAGAGTAAAATTTTCAACATCAGAAGTGTTAATTAAATAAAAAAATTTTATAAAAAAAAAATAATAATTTTGATATGGAAAAATTATCTGCAACTTTTGTGAAGCATCAAATCAACAGCATATTAACCGTCCAAATGTGTGTTTGTCTTCCATACAGGTCTTACATTCAGTAAGCCTATTATCATACAGAAATTGCACTAAGTTTTTGTGCCGGACTGCCCTGCCGAGGGCTGGAAGGGGTCCGGTTTAGCATCCACAGGATTTCATCTCTGTTATTCGCAGACGGTGTTGTTCTGCTGGCTTCATCAAACATGGACCTTCAGCATGTACTGGGGCAGTTTGCTGCCGAGGGTGATGTGGCTGGGATGAGAACCAGCACATCCGAGTCACCGGAAAAAGGTGGTTTGGCATCTCCAGGTTGGAGGAAAGTCCTTACTAGGTGGAGGAGTTCAAGTATCTTGGGGTTTTGTTTACTAGTGAAGGAAAAATGGAACGTGAAATTGACAGGAGGAGCAGCAGTAATGTGGTCGATGTACTGGTCCATTGTGGTGAAGAAGGAGCTGAGCTGAAAGGCAAAGCTCTCGGTTTATCTACGTTCCTTCTCTCACCTATGGTCATGAGCTTTGGGTCATAACAGAAAGGACAAGATCTCGGATACAAGCGTCCAAAATGAGTTTCCTTCGCAGGGTGGTAAAGCACACCCTTATAGCAAGATTAAGGAGCTCTGATCCCTGGGAGGAGCTTGACATAAAGCCGCTCCTCCTCCACATCAACAGAAGTCAGCTGAGGTGGCTCGGGTATCTGTTTCGGATGCCTCCTGGACCTCCTAGGGAGATGTTCCAGACATTTCCCACTGGGAGGAGGCCTCAGGGAAGACCCACATGCTGGAGGGACCATGTCTCTCGGCTGGCTTGGGAACACCTCAGGATCCCCCTGGAGGAGCTGGAGGAAGTGTCTGTGGAGTGGGAAGTCTAGGGTTCTCTCCTACGACTGCTGCCCCCACGACCCGGCCCCGGAAAAGCGGATGAAAATGAGATGAGATGAAATTGTACTAAAGTCTTTTAAAAGTATGCATCTGTATCTAAAAAGTCCATATTTTTTAATGCTATATCATTGCTGTGACCAACTGAAATTCATAAACCCATAAGGGCCACTGTAATCCAAAAGGAAAGGTAAACCAGACAAAAAAAAGTGTAAATAAAACAAAATCTAAATAATGGCCCACCCATAACATTAAGTTTGTGGTAATGGTGGTATTTATTTACTGTGCAAAAAGGACTAGATTCACCCCAATGATAAAATATACACTAGCGTGTACAAAACAATCACAAAATACAAAGAACGTAAAGACTTAATAAACCGACTACCCAGAGTATAGGTCTCACACGCAATTCCTGGAGGGCCGCAGCTCTGCACAGTTTTGCTCCAACCCTAATCAAGCACAGCTGATCTAGTGGTGTCTTGAACACCTTGATTAGTCGGATCAGCTGTGTTTAATTAGGGTTGGAGCAAAACTGTGCAGAGCTGCGGCCCTCCAGGAGTTTGAGACCTATGACCCAGAATGTTATGTCAATCACTATGAAAGTGAGCTATTGCACTACAGTAGCTCACTCGTTCAGGTATTAAAAGCAAAACCAGTTGGTCTTAGTTTCATCTATATAGGAGACCTGAATTGACTAACGGAGCATACCAAAAAATAGGAAAGTACGAGTCAAAATAAAAGTGCATCTTCACATATACACATATTTCACCCATAACATATTGAAAACCTCTGCAAAATAACATTATAATGAGTCATTCGCCCGCATTTCTTGTTATTCCAGGCCATTCTTTTATCACATCACAAACAATGGATTATCAGCCTTCGGTTAGCCTGTGCATGGTTAGATGGTGTGTCATAAACAGGATACCCTGTTTGGGTTGGCCGGATAACATTGTTCTCCTCTTGGAGGACAGCCTCAAAACATAATCAGGCAAAATCTAAAGTGTGTGAATCTGTAAACTATAAGGAAGCATGTGGAATCATGTGCCCATCCACTTCTGAACATGAAGACAGCAGAGGGAAAATGATGACTTGCATGAGTTTAGTCAATGTGATTGTGTATTTGACCTGTGCTCAGCATTGACAGCTACTACTTTGAACCTCACATTGAATTAAATATTGGTCATGATTAGTCCCACACGGAATCTGTGTGTGCAGAAATCCGCTGATTTCCGCAGATTCCCAGCCCGTCATTGAGTCTATTTATTTACTAAATGTATATTTATTCAGTTTTTATATTAATTTCAGAGATATTATTGACTAATATAAAAATTTTCATTTGATTTATTTACAATCTAGTTTGTAAAGTACCCCTTAAAAATGAATGAAAGTGCCCAACGGGGGAGAGGGGGTGCACCCTCCCTACCCTACCCTCCCAAACAAACAACAGACTATTGTTTGTTTTTTATGATTGTTTTGTGCTGTAGTATTTGGTTTGTGCAGCAGCAATAAAAAAAAATATATGTAAAATATAAAGAGTTTTCTTGTGATTTTCAAAACTAGTAGTGTTTCAAGAGTTCACACTTCACCGATAATCAAAGTGTAATTGGCATGCTGTCCCGGGAGACAGCCCTGAGCTTGTAATATCCTCGAGTCCGGGGCTCCCTCCCGATAGAAGGGCGAGAGGGGAGTTCGAGCTCAGGTAGGTTTCGAGAACTCCCCTGCTTGTCACCGTGTGAGAAGTGTAAATTAAGTTTGTCTTAGGTGATAATTTGGTGTAGTCGATTGGTTATGGTGAATGTTTTTGAAACCCACGCGAACACGGGAAGAACATAGAAACTCTGCATAGAAACGCCAACCTGCCCGATAGGAGGTTGGACCGGCGGTGTTCTTGCTGTGAGGCAACAGTGGTAGCCACACTTTGAAACTAATGAATGCATAGTAATTGTGAAACCATGATTATTCTCAGACTATCATAATATAACAAAAATCTATAATCATTGCTTCTCTATTAGTGTCCACATGACCACACTGTACCCAGAGTTTCTGAAAATCTTCACTCTGGCCGGAGTTTTCAGAATGTTGCGTTACTGATACTGCGTTTTCATGTGGACAAACAACGAAATCAAAGAAAAAAAAAAGTGTGGTTTTGAAAATACCCGTGTTCGTGTGGACAGGGCCTAAGTGTCATATTTAAAGGCCTCGGTATACTTCAAACTAATTTCTTCTTCGTTTGAGGGCAAACAGAGTTTGTAAAGGCAGAGTGAGTCTGACACCCTTGCAATAGGCGGGGTTTTAAGAACACTGATTGTGTAATCACCACAGACCAATGGTAGCTCAAAGGTGTTTAGGACTAAGGCTACGTTTACAATTTTAAAACGCACAAGTTTTGCTACGGTTACATTAGCCCCTTTCACACATACAGACCTTTCCGGAAAATTGCCGGCAATTTTGTATTGGTTGTATGTGTGAACAGGTCCTTTTTGAAAATACCGGTAAATTCGTTCTGGCTATTTTTCGGAAAGAGAAGTTGTAACATTACCGGTAATTTGCCGGAATGCTGCGCTGTGTGAATGCAGAAGGAAGATTGCCGGAATAAGCGCGTGCACGTCTAGAACGTGCTGACGTGAGACGTCTGCTTTAGCCAATCACAACAGTCAGACGCATTTACGTCCGCGCGGTTTATGAGAATAAAAGCCTTTGAATTTTTTTCCAGACACATTTAGCTGCTAGAAGTTAGTCAGATCATGTTTATATGTTCTTCTTAATGCCAACTGTGTAAATAATCATCGATGAGATGCTTATGATAAGCCGTTGTTTGTTTACCTTCAAGCTTTGCGTGTGCCTGTGAAACAGCCTGTGAGCGCCTGCACACGAACATATTATGAACATCTCGACATGCGAAAGTGATCCTGTGTTTGTAATTTAGTCAAATGTTTACTAATACAAGCGCAGCCGTTTAAAGCTCATTTGTGGTGAATGATGTCAGAATCGACCGGTGTTTTGGAATGGATGTGTGAATGCTCTTTTCAGGGAAAATTTCCGTAACATCCTCGCCTGTGTGAACAGCACTTTTTTGAATATACCGGTAAAGTCGTTCCGGAAATTTTCCACATATTTACCGGTATCACTGTGTGAAAGGGGCTATTGTCCATTCACACTACGCTGTAGTTTTCGAGCTTTTGAAAACAACGAAGAGGCCATTTTCTTTCTAAAATGCTGCTACTCCATGTCAGTGTGGACGGAGGAAAACGGAGACATCTGAAAATGGAGGCGTGGTTGCTGATTGGGGCTTTTTCTCAATATCAAGTGCAAAGTTTAGAACTTGCATCCTTTCCTTGTAAGTTCAGACTTTGCAAGTTTAAAACGAACTCCCGAGGACGTGAAAACACTTTGGGTAAATCGTCAAGCAGTGTACATTTATAACATCATTCACCCTGGCTTAATAATAAAATGAAAACGTGACACAAAGCGCCATCTCTTTTAATTTTTATATTAACAACTTAAACATAACAGACACCAAAAATGCAAAGGCATCAATAAGCACATATTTATTTGGCTGTCATCTTCACTGTATGCAAATGTATAACAAAACGGAGCCTAATAACTGCCTCCTTTTATTTTATGCTCACTGTGTTGTTTTGGCAATATGTGCTTATTGTCAGGCTATATGCACACAATATCTGTGTACATGGTTGCATAAATCAATAGGTATATTAACTTCTCTTTGCGCTCAGTCAAAACACGTTGGATCAGGGCTGGAGTGGGACCCCTTTTCATCCCTGGAGTTTTAAGCCTCAGACCGGCCCACCTCAGTTCACGACTGACTATATTAAAATAAGGTCATTTCCAATTCAGTTTCTAATGACACTATCACGTCTTTTTTTGAGAAAACAGCTGCTTTAGAACTTCAAATGTTCAACAACCCTAACAGTATTATATGTCTTAACAATAAAAATGAAAAAAAAAAAAAACATTCTCAGACGAGATTCAAACCCGGGTCAGCGGCGCCGTATTCTATTGTGCTAACCACTGGACCACAACAGCTGTATGTTAAATGATGACTAATTTGAGCAATATCATCATTAACCTGCAGGCTGGTTATAAATAAACAGCATAGCTGCGGTAAAATAATGAATAAGAAGACTGTGGTCAAATAAATAAATTAATTTAAAAAGTGTGACTGCTGAGAGCAACAGATTCTGGAGCTAGGGACACCGGCCCTCACGGCCAAAAAACGGACCGGCCCACTTGGAATTCTGCCTGCGTTGGATTCAAAATGGATTCAAAAGACAGACTCAATAGATAAAGGTCTACTACCCAAGATGAATTATACGTTGAGTTTAGCAACTACAGAGAGATGAGATCCAGTGGCAGATTCGAGATGGACTGGCTGACATTCGGCTGCTTTTGGGCAGGTGGGTTTAGAGCTCCCGCTGACTGCCTGAAGCTGACGCAAGAATGCGTTTCTCAGTGAATGCTAGAGTGCGTGTATGGTCATGTGATTTTTTTCACGTGTGATTCAGCGGTAAAGTGTGGAGGGAGAGTTGTTCAGAAACGCTAGATGAAACGCCAGTGTGGACGTGGATTATATTTATTCTAAAACACTATTTTAAAACGAAAACATATTAGTAGGGATGGGTATGGTTAAGGTTTTAGCGATATCACTTATCGGTTCAGTTCTTTAACGGTTCTCTTATCGGTACTTTTTGTAGTGTTTTTAATGAAAAAAAAAAAATTTGAACCAAATTATCAGCTTAATTTTATTATTAATTATTATTATTGTAAAATAAATGAAACCAATAATTGTTAAACAAATAAATATTTTTTGAAGAATGTACAATGGTTCTTCTGGAAAAAAAAATCAACATGTTTGACAGAAGTCGGGATGTTTCTTGGTTTAATGTGCTCCCTGCAGTTAAAAATAACCTTTTTGAGTTGTGAAACGCAGGTAAATAAGATAATGTTTATCATTTTTCATTAACGCATTCACATAAATGAGTTAACGATGCTTTGGGAGTTAACTGTGTTTTTAATACAGTTTTGGAGCATCTTGCAATGTAAAAATAAGCAGAATTATTAAAATTTCTTAATAAACTGTTTATTATTAGGCTATTTATATACTGTAAAAAAAATCTTAATTTTACAGTAAACGTAAAATAACGGTCGTTAAATTATAGAAATTCACTATAAAATAACAGACATTAAATGACAGAAAATTCCTTAAATTTAAATTTCTGGTAAATTTCTGTAATTTAACGGCTGTTGTTTCACGATTTTTTTCGGGCAACCCAGCTGCCGGAGATAAAACATAAAATTAAAGATTTTTTTTTTACAGTGTAGGCTATAATTGTAAATACAAGTGATGTAAAAGCATTTTTAATGTTTAACATTTATTTAGGCTTCTGCAGAAAAAAATACTATTTTCACTGTATTAATTTTATACTATTTTAGGTGATTGCCTGCTGGCATAACGATGTGGATGATGTTAAGTTACCATTAGTAGCTAGGCAGTTAAAAACTTTGCATTAGTTTGCATTGTAGTTAATGCACTTTTGAAAGACACTTTCACTTAGCCAGATTGCTTGCGTTTCTGCTTATACAAGAAAACAACTTGTTGTTTTTGTTGCAACGGGCATTGTCGCATCTACTCGGGAAATACAACTCGTTTGGTTCACTCCGCAAGCTTACTAGCTGTGTTCACGCGAGTCTGTGTGCTTAGCTATGTGTGTACGCTTAGCGTGAGCCTCTGCTGAGTGCGTGCGCACAGCCGAGAACTGTGAAGACTTTTATACTTGACGCGCTCGCCCAGAAACATGAGCATTTCTCATGTGAGATTGCCGACTGTGCAGACGAATATCAAATTTCACAAATTAGAAAAGGATGGTCAGTTAATTTATGCTTCTGTAAGTAATGTTTTTACAGCAATAGTTCTCCAGTACAGATAGCAGAACCGTTAACATCAGAGTATACCGATAAAGTACCGAGTTTTGGTAACCATCCCTACGTATTAGTGTAAACAAGGCCTAAAACGTACTAACGCAAAGAGTTTGTTTTGGTCAGATGTTTCAAACTGTACATAATACATTAGATTTTGTTCAAAATGACCTAATTTCAGCTCTTTTATTTTGTTTGAAGTATATCGGGGCCCTACAGGGATAAATGTAAGGTGCTTTACACAACTCGGCACAGACCAACATGTATAATGTATACTAGCGATTGAATGGTAAGATCCTTAGTGAAGAGAACAAGTCACACCACAAGAAAGGAAAGACGGCGTCAGTGAAGGTGGTTGTGAATGTGTGTAGATGTGTGTTATTTACAGGATCAGAGAAACACACAGTTCCTCTGTCATAGTCCAGCTCCACTCTCACACACTCCAGGTACTGCTCGACTGGAAACTCATTCGAAGAACTTTTGATTAGTCCGTACGGGTCGTGCCACACACTCCACACATCAGTGTTAAAGAAAACATCTCTCTTCCTCTGGTTTGACGCTGTAGTTACTCCGACACTCCAGCATCGACTCTCCTTCACCTCCACATCCCAGCGGTGTTTTCCTGAGCAAAACCCCACTGAACCCAGAACACAGGGATAGTCAAACCTCTCTGGGTTATCAGGAAGCCACTGTTTGTTCTCGCTCTCTCTCACGCTGGTCAGATCTTCAGACAGGACGATGTGCGAATTTGCAGTGTTTGGGTCCAGAATCACAGGAGCTGAAGAGACACAATCAATAGCTGCTGTTATTCTCATGCTCAAGAGTGGAATAAGGGCTGCTTTCACACATGTAGATGCATTGTTTTGTTCTAAAACAGGGATTAAAATTGTTACAGGGTTGCTTTTTGTTCTTGGTGTGGTTCACTTTCACATGGCAAATTTGCTCAACGGACAAAACTAGTTACACCAAAAGTCGCTTGCGAGAAAACTCTCCTGACATTGTGAAGTTTATTTATAAACTAATTTCGAGAGGATCACATGCTTATGATTGACCATGGCTGATCCTGCATTAGCTATCATGATTCACCAATCAGATGATTCCTAACACACTATACATAACCAGAGTTTCTTACCTTATGGCCCGTTTCCACTGAGTGGTACGGTACGGTTCGGTTTGGGTAACCGTACCGTACCACTTTTTCGGGACCCTTTCGAAAGGGTCCCAAACTGCAGAAAGGGTCCCAAAAGGTGGAGCTACACGCACAGCTGAACGCTATTGGTTTTCAGAGATACGTCATTCGTAGACGCAACAAGCCAGAATGTAAACGAAGGACCCGCCATGTTTGAAATACACAGCGAGAGATTACAGCGAAATTATATATACATATGCAGCCATGGTCGATCCTGCAAACAAACCCTGTCATCGATATGATAAACAGCCACAAAGCCATGGAGAAGAGCTGATTTACCCTGTGCCGCGTAGTTTTTAACGAGCCAGTCTGAAGCCCGAGTGGTTTCGCTTTCTTCCTTGCGCTCCCTGCTATCTGAAATAACAAACTTCTTGAGCTGATGATAATAACATGCACTTGATTATTTACAAGCTTTTGGAAACCCGATCCTGTGAGAAGCTGACAAACGCGAGTGACACATTCAGAAAGAAAAGGACAATCGCGAGAGTGGGGCGCGGAAAAAAAGGCGAAGCCAAGGAGCATGCTATTTCTTCAGCAAACGTGAACAAACTGCCTTGTTTTAATCTTTATTATCACCTTTTGGACTAATATGAACTGGGAATGATGGAATGACTCTCTAACAGAGGCCTAATGTGCTGCTGAAGATTACAGACACAGAGAGGTTTACTCTGACTGTAGGCTATACTTTGTGTTGTTTTGAACCTAATTAACGACGAAATGTCTGCTTTGTGTAGTTCTTCTGTAGTTGGTAACATATGGGAGACTGTAAGGGTCTGTATGTGTTCATTTATGTTCGTTTATTTATTTATTTAATGTAATTACAGACGTTACAGTAGGCTATTTCACACCGTCATTGATCTGCAGTTATAATCAACTCCTGTTTATAGAAAAGTTAGTAATAAACATGTATACACAAGTATTTATGTGTGTAAAGCCTCTTTTTTGTGAGAAGTGCTTTTCAAATGATATGTGAACCACCTGTGCAGCTTTATTGTACACATTTTCTCGAGCGAAAATGACGTCGACTGAACCTTTGTCATACACCACGCCCACCAAAAGGGTACCCTTGGTAGTGGAAACGCAAGCCTGATAAAGGTGACCCATATCGACCCGAACCGTACCGTACTGTACCAGTCAGTGGAAACGAGCCATTAGTTATCTTCATCTTGAAGAATGCCCCCTACCACCCCTACTCCTCCCTTTTCCTAGGTAGAGTGATACAGCAGCTCAGTGGTTAGCACTGTTGCCTCACAGCAATAATGTCACTGGTTCATCTCCTTGCAAGGCCAGTCAACGTTTCTGTGCGGAGTTTACATGTTCTCCCCGTGCTCACGTGAGTTTCCCCCGGGGTACCTGTTTTTTTCCCCACAGTCCAAAGACATGCAACATAAGTGAATTGACTAAACCAAATTGGCACAATAGGTGAGGTCTTAGTCTGGCTCCTATCTGTGCCTTCATTTAGCAGTTCATCTCTCTATAGCAATCCCTATAATTTGTCTTGGGTCCTAAATAAACCAGGGGAGTTTTCCAGATCTAGCCGAGCTCAAACTCCCCTCTTGCCCTTCAAGTAGGAGGGAGCCCCGGGCTCAAGAATCTTATGAGCTCAGGGCTCTCTTCAAGGACTGCATGCCAAACACGTATTATTATTAATCATCAGCCTAGTGTGCACTCTTGAAGGTCAGAGTTTGGTTTGTTTACAGGATTCAGCTCAGCTGTCATACGTCCTTATTTTAATTTAGGAAGATTAGAAATGACAGATTTATAAGATAAAAGGTGTGCTTTAATTTTGAGGTAAAGGTGAGAATTTCTCATACATAGTGTTATTTCAGTCGTCAAGAGTTGTAAAATATGTATTGATCCTATATACGAAAGAGTCATTCATTCATTCATTTATTTTTCTATGCTTTTCCGGGGCCTGGTTGTAGGGGCAGACTTCCCCCACCCTTCCCTTTCCCAAGACACTTCCTCCCGCTTCTCAAGTAGGATCTCAAGGCGTTTGCAGGCCAGCCGAAAGACATAGTCCTTCCAACGTGTCCTGGGTCTTCCCAGAGGCCTCTTCCCAGTATGACATGCCTGGAACACCTCCCTAGGTAGGCATCCAGGGTTTTATCCCATGCACCCTAGCTGGGTTCAGCCAGAAGGAGCCTTATGGAGACCATCCTCCTGCAGGCCTACCACTTGCAGGGGGAGCCATTAGAGGCCGGTGTATAGTGGAACAGGTGGTGGTCAAAGGTTAAGACCACGACAACCAAATCATTGGGCACGTAATGAAATAGTCATTTTTTTTAAATACTTGTAATGTAATGTGTATTTATATAGCGTGCATTTTATTTATCCTGTATGGTCATACACCCAAAGCACTTCACAATCACAAAGGGGGGTGTCTCCACTTGGATGATGGGACGGCAGCCACAGGAGAACGGCGCCAGTGCACTTATCACACACCAGCCATAGGTGGAATGGAGAAACTGTGATAGAGCCAATTCAGTGGATGGGGATGATTGGGAGACCATGATGGAGGGAATTTGGCCAGGACACCGGGGTGTACCCCTATTCTTCACAAGAAGTGCCATGGGATTTTGATGACCACAGTGAGTCAGGGCCTGTTTTTGCTTTTGTGATTGATGAATGATATCACTACTCATCATTCTCTCTTATAATAGCCGTATATATGCCTATTACTTAACCATAATACACTGTGATATAGTCTGGTCCGTTTGTTCATTGGATCGTATTGCTTTCTCACTGTAACCCAAGCGCTCCAGAGGTCATTTTAATCGAGCCGAGCCCTCGTTTAAATGATCTAGGACGGATTGTTTTGGCATGGATCAGAGCATGATTACATATGCCCACATATTTCACATATACCCAAATGAACTGTGATAAGGGGACAAACATACCAGATTCCCAAACAAACGCCTAGGTGTGAAAGCACCCTTAAACAAATTATTATAAGTTATGACAGTCATTCTGTTGCTCAAACAATGTTTACCTCCAATCACAGTCTCGTTTGTTTTCAACACAGTTGCCATTGCTTGGGAACACCTATTTTTTGTTTTGTGTTAAGTCATGTTTGGTCTTGTGCTGTGCTACACGACATCTCTAGGACCAGTCATCCAGAGACATGGATTCTTCTACCACTGCTATGCTGATGATACCCAGCTATAACTCTCTTTTCATCCTGATGATCCCTCGGTTCCAGCTCGCATCTCAGCCTGCCTGTTGGACATTTCACACTGGATCAAAGATCATCATCTTCAGCTGAACCTTGCGAAAACGGAAATGCTTGTAGTTTCTGCCAACCCGACTCTACACCATAACTTTTCAATCCAGATGGATGGGGCAACCATTACTGCATCCAAAATGGTGAAAAGCCTTGGAGTAACAATTGATGACCAACTAAACTTCTAACCAAATTTCTAGAACTGCTTGATCGTGCAGATTCGCACTCTATAACATCAGAAAGATCAGACCCTTCTTATCTGAACATGCAGCTCAACTCCTTGTTCAAGCTCTTGTTCTCTCCAAACTGGACTACTGCAACTCTCTACTAGTGGGGGTTCCAGCTAACTCTATCAAACCTCTTCAGCTGCTTCAGAACGCAGCATCACGAGTGGTTTTTAATGAACCTAAAAGAGCACATGTCACTCCGCTGCTCATCCGTTTGCACTGGCTGCCAGTTGCTGCTCGCATCAAATTCAAAGCTCTGATGTTTGCTTACAAAGCGACTTCTGGCTGCGCCCCTTCTTATCTGCTCTCATTTCTGCAGATCTATGTGCCCTCCAGAAACTTACGTTCTGTGAATGAAAGTCGCCTCGTGGTTCCATCCCAAAGAGGGAAGAAATCACTTTCCCGAACTCTCGCGTTAAATCTGCCCAGTTGGTGGAATGAACTCCCTAACTGCATCAGAACGGCAGAGTCACTCGCTGTCTTCAAGAAATGACTAAAAACTCAACTATTTAGTCTCCACTTCACTTCCTAATCTGCAATTGCCTCTCTAGATATACCACTAACTGTACTCAAAAAAATAAATAAATAAATAAAATAAATAAAAAAATAAAAAATTTACTAATACTTTCCTTCTTAGACTTTACAGAACTGAAACTTGCAGCACTTATTCATTGTTGCTCTTATAGTTGTATAAATTGCTTTCTTGTCCTCATTTGTAAGTTGCTTTGGATAAAAGCGTCTGCTAAATGACTAAATGTAAATGTAAATGCTGTGGTTTGGCTCTTCGGTTTTTGTGCTAGTGTATGATATGATGCAAACACCAGCCCTTGGGCAAACACCGAATAAATATAAAAGACGGTCAAGTCTACCTGCTTGAGTCCACCAAGCAAGTACTCCAGCAAGGCACTTTACTGACAACATTCTAGACTGCAGCTCTGGCTTTTATCCATTTGACCAGAAGAGAACTATTCCCGATTGAATCTGGTTTGTACACAAGTTTTTTTCTCCATTTCCGTTAATTGTTGCTTTGGTTTCTTGCCACTGTTGCCTGTCTAGCTTGCTTTGATTGTGATCAGTTGGAGTTGCCCTCCAGTGCATAATCCTACAACAGTGATTACATTTACATGGACATCAGGAAT